CCGCCATGACACCGGAAACGGGGCGGGCCGGCGGAGGTCCCGCCCGGTGGCCCCTCCCCTCCCGCCGCGCCGGGCGGAGCCGGGGGCGGGGCGGGCGCAGTGCGGGGCTCGTGGGCCCTCAGCCCGGGAGGCGGCGGGGTTCTGTCCCCTCAAACCCCCGGGGGTTCCCCCTCAGAGCTGGAGGGTTCCTGTCCCCTCAGCCCGGGAGGCAGCGGGGTCCTGTCCCCTCAAACCCCCGGGGGTTCCCTCCCCTCAGAGCTGGAGGGTTCCTGTCCCCTCAGCCCGGGAAGCAGCGGGGACCTGTCCCCTCAGACCTGGAGCTGGCGGGTTCTGTCCCCTCAACCCGGGAACTGGTGGGGTCCCGTCCCTGCAGCCCTGGCCCCCCCGGGGTCCCATCACCTCAACACCCCCGGGGTCCCATCACCTTGACACCCCTGGGGTCCTGTCCCCTCAGCCCAGGAACTGGCGGGGTCCCATCTTCTCAGTCCGGGAGGCAGCGGGGTCCCATCACCTCAACACCCCTTGGGTCCCGTCCCCTCAGCCTGGGAGCTGGTGGGGTCCCATCCCCTCAGTCCAGGCACTGGCAGCAGGTCCTGTCCTCTCAGCCCTGGCACCAGCCGGGTGTCCCAGCCCCTCAGCACCAAGCACACAGCAGGGCAGCCATGTCACCCTCTCGGCCTGGGCACTGCCAAATTCCCCCAACACCTCCTGGCTCCCCATGGCCATGCCTCTGGGCCTGGCTCCTGGGTGGGAGTGCCCTTTGCAGGTGTCAGGCCTCTGGTGGCGTTTTTGGGGGACATTTCTCTTAACCCTGTGACTTTAACATGCAGATCCCGTCATCCTATGTGATCACCCCAGCAAGCCCGGCGCTGGAGGGCAGCTTTCCCTGTCCCCCCTCAGCTGCACGGGGCTGCAGAGCAGAGGAATGAGACCTCTGCAGGAGGTCCGGATGCAGGAGCATCCAGAAGGTCCCCAGCCTCATCAGGGGGCTTCAGGGCTATGCCGAGCTGGTGGAGATGTTCCCCTCCCATCAAGGGACTGCTACGTGTCAGTGGCTAAAAAAAGAAAACAAAAATTTATTGTGCAATCTGCATCTTTTGTCCCAAACTACGCACACGCCCTAGACAACATAAATAGTGGGACTGGACCAGCAGCGAGGTTCCAGCAGCAGGGCTGGAAGATGCTGGTTCCTCAAAGAGGGTCTACGAGCCCTTATTTCCATCAACGTATACAATGCAGTGTAGGTCTGGGCAGCATATACATATACATACTCATATAGATTTCCACTTGTGGGGTGGCACCGGGCGTGCACAGCATCATCACATTATAGACAGGGTGTGTTATACCTCAGCAACAACCGCCAGCTGGCCATGGGCTCTGCAGAGCTCTGATGTCTCCTTCACTCTCCACTGGGGCCTCCCCCATGGCCAAGTGCTGCAGCCATGGCACTTGCCATGCCCATGTGCAAGGAGGGACGGTGGCTGCCCCCAGGGCAAAGGGATCTCTCAGGCCCGTGGCCCCCTTCCTTCGGCAAGACCGTAGTGTGGTGGAAGACATTTCTTCAGCCTGACTGCCCTGTGTGGCCCAGGAGGAGCTGTGAGCAGAGGTGCCCCATCCATGAGGCCCTAGGTTCCTGCAGGCCAAAACTGGTCTTTGGAGCTTTTCCTCTCAAAAACACTTTTGCAGTGAGGATGCACACAAAAGCTCTAAGCAAAGTGCCATCTCACAGCTGCTTCCTTTCACCAGCCCAGGGGTCCACAGGCTGGCTAACCTCTCCCATAATTCATAGGGAAACAATCACAGAGCTGTATCAGGACCATGTGGCTTCTTGTGTCCCATCTCACGAAGACATCACCATCTGGCCCACATAGGGTGGCCTGCCTGGGCAGATCAGTCTGGTCCTGGTGGCTGAGGTGAGACCAGGAAACAAGTGGAAGCTGTAGGGGATCTCATGGGGAGCTTGACTCCCTGCCAGAGCTCACTGGCCAGCAGCTGTGTAGCCCCATGCATCCAGCCCTGCTCCCTACCAGAGCCCATGCCACAAGTGGGTCTCCTGTGGCTGGGGCTCCGCTGCAAAGAGAGATGGCACTGGGAGGACTAACACAAGGGGTTGGCACCTGGAGAAGGCCTTGGGGGACATCTGCCATCCCAGTTCCCTGGCACAGGGCACTAGGGCTGGGGGAACCTGCTGGTACACCAGGACAGGGTATCTCAGCAAGCATATGATGTAAGCTGGGACGTGCTCCAGGCTGGGGCAGCCAGCCCAGATGTGTGGAACGATAGGAGATACTTGTGGGACACACACCCCAGCACAGCTGACAGGGCTGGGGGCAACCTGGCATTTCTGCACCCATGCATGAGGACCCAGACTGCTGAGAAAGCCCACCCTCGGTCCCCAGCACAGTGTGGCCCACGGCTGCAGGATGGTGGCACCTTGGCAGTGTGAGAGCTTTGCAATGATGGGTAAACGGACTTGGGATGAGGTTGCAGAAGCCGTGGCAGGACAGGCCATTCCCCTCCTGGGAATCTGGGGAGAAATGTGGTGTAATGGCTCCCCACACCCCATGCTAGGGCAGCAATTGCTCCTACCACCCTGGGGTTACCCCCTCTTCAAAATAATGACCCCAAAACCGGCAAGTGGCAGTGAGAGACATGTTTGGGAGAGCCAGCCCCCATGGTGCCCCCACCACGGCTCCCCCACTGCTACTCAAAGGACAGCAGGTCAGGATGGGGCCCATCCACCTCCCGTCCCGAGGTGCATGGCTCCGGTCGCCCTGTGCTCCCTGGCGGCTCAGGCTCCAGCCCTTGTCTCCGGGAAGGCTTCTCCATGTGAGGTGAGGTCTCGGTGGCCCTCTCGCCTGCTCGCCACTGGCCCTCCAGGCTGCCCTTATGGATGAGGTCGGGCACAGGGAGGGCAGTGGTGGGCTGGTCACCGCTTGGCTCTGGGGTGCCGGTGATGGTGGGGACCTCAGGGCCTTCTGGAGGGGATGGGTCCCTTGTCCCTGGCCACTCCTCTGCAGGGTCAGGGTGGGCTGTGGGCAGTTCAGGGGGCTCCTCCGTGCTGCTCCTTGGGCTGGATCCTGCCGGCTGTGGTGCGATGAGCATGTCCTGCGGGGTCTTCAGGGCACGTGGTGTCCGCTTCTTGGTGATGGGGGGTGGGGGGTCCAGCCGGGGAAAGGTGTCCAGCCCCACAGCCCTGCAAGCACAGAGGAGCAGTGACATACAGCCCCGTGCCGGCACCCTTCCAGTCTGCACCAATGGCCCCACCACAGGGTGCACACTATGGGGACACTCACCCATCCTCGCTGCCCGGCTGTCCTGTGCCCAGTATCGCCCCGGCACTGGCATTCACCTCCATCACCCCCACGCCGGGGAGCCCGGCCGGCTCCTTGCGGCGCAGGAGGTCATTCATCTTGGCCCCCACAGCCTTGCCCAGATTGCGGAGGTGCTGGCTGCCGGCAGGACGGGAGGACTGCAGCGGGGCACCCGCCACGGTGGGGACATGCTGTGGCCGTGGGGTGGGTGCCGTACTGGCGCTGGCGTTCTCAAACATGCTCTGGTCCACTGGAGGGGGAAAGGGAACAGAGAAGGGGGCGTGAGCCGGGCTGGAGGAGGGACCCCAGAAGGGACAGCATGTCCCAGAGCTGCCTGCCAGCTCCCAACCCAGCAGCATGGGGACACAATTTAGGGGACAGGGAGCTCCTACAGCCCGGCCATGCTATGCCAGGGCTGTGCAGAGCAGTGCATGTGGTGGGGACAGCACGGGGCAAGACGGGGTAGCAGTGAGCCCAGGTGTCATGGTTTCAGCTGGGATGGAGTTAACTTTCCTGCTAGCTGCTGGTGTGGGGCAATGTTTTGGATTCGGGATGAGAGTGGTGCTGATAAGTGCCCTAATGTTTTCAGTTGTCCCTAAGATCTCAAGGCCTTTTCTGCTCCTCACACCGCCCCACCAGCGGGTAGGCTGGGGAAGGGGCACAAAAAGTTGGGAGGAGACACAGCCAGGACAGCTGACCCCAATGGACCAAAGGGATATTCCGTACCATTCCATGTCATGCTCAGTATATAAAGCTGGGGGAAGAAGAGGGAAAGGGAGATGTTTAGAGTTACAGAGTTTGTCTTCCCAAGTAACCATTTGGCTGCCGGCAGGACGGGAGGACTGCAGCGGGGCACCCGCCACGGTGGGGACATGCTGTGGCCGTGGGGTGGGTGCCGTACTGGCGCTGGCGTTCTCAAACATGCTCTGGTCCACTGGAGGGGGAAAGGGAACAGAGAAGGAGGCGTGAACCAGGCTGGAGGAGGGACCCCAGCAGAGTAGTGCACGTGGTGGGGACAGCACGGGGCAAGATGTGGTAGCAGTGAGCCCAGGTGTCATGGTTTCAGCTGGGATGGAGTTAACTTTCCTGCTAGCTGCTGGTGTGGGGCAATGTTTTGGATTCGGGATGAGAGTGGTGCTGATAAGTGCCCTAATGTTTTCAGTTGTCCCTAAGATCTCAAGGCCTTTTCTGCTCCTCACACCGCCCCACCAGCGGGTAGGCTGGGGAAGGGGCACAAAAAGTTGGGAGGAGACACAGCCAGGACAGCTGACCCCAATGGACCAAAGGGATATTCCGTACCATTCCATGTCATGCTCAGTATATAAAGCTGGGGGAAGAAGAGGGAAAGGGAGATGTTTAGAGTTACAGAGTTTGTCTTCCCAAGTAACCATTACGTGTGATGGAGCCCAGCTTTCCTGGAGATGGCTGAACACCTGCCTGCCGATGGGAGGCAGGAAAAGAATTCCTTGTTTTGCTTTGCTTGTGTGCATGGCTTTTGCTCTATCTATTAAACTGTCTTTGTGCCAACCCATGAGTTTTTTGTCTTACTCTTCTGGTTCTCTCCCCCTTCCCAACCGGGGGCAGTGAGCGAGTGGCTGCGTGGTGCTAGTTGCTGGCTGGGGTCACACCATGACACCGGGGCTCCGTGCTTCCACTGCCAACACACCGACATCTCTTACCTGACACTGAGCAACTTGGGAAGCAGGTTGTGGAAAGAAAGAGAGAGAGAGGATTTACCAAGGGAATGGCAAGGGGACAGTGGACCTGTCCCTTCCACGCTGATGGGTGAGGTGCACTGCTGCCCCCCTGCCCATATCTGCCAGGCTACCTATGGAGACAGGACTTATTTGGAGCCCTTATCAGCCAGACACCCACAAAGCAGGTTCTCTGGGGGCACCCACAGCCTGGGCTCTGCACTGCCCACCCTAGCATGGCTCCCTCTCCAGCCCAAGCTAGCTGTTGCCTTGCATTAGCCAAGCTCCCAAGAGACCCCGAAGGCTGAGCCCACTGCCCAGGAGCATCCTGCTGTGCACCGTACACACGGGTGACATCAGCCCTTTGTGACACCAGCAGATGACGGCATGGGTACCATGGTGCAGGAGCCACACATCAGCTATGCAAGAGTGATGACGAGCTTTGTCCTGCCCTCCATTTCCATTGGGGCCATGCCCCGCAGCACCAAGAAAAGAAGCCCAGAGGCTCTGTGCCCCTTGGGCCCTGCCAGCAGGCCTGCTGCCTGCCAGTTGCAGCCAGGTGAGGGGTGCAGGCAGCCTGTGAGGGGGGCTCCCCCTTACACCCCCTGGGCACGGCCACGGCACTGCTCAGCATCCTGCAGCACTGCAGGCAGACAGGCTGTGGAGGGGGTTAGCTGGACATACCCTCCTGCACGAGCGGGGAAAGGGAACAGGAACACCCACAGCAGTAGGTGCTTTCTGGGGACATAGTCCTGCAGTCACACCCCACCTCTGAGCTACACCAGTTTCTACCCCATGTCTTCCAGCAGGAACCTGTAAAGCTGGGAGTGCTGCCCCCAGGAGTGCCAGCTCAGCCTCCTCGTCACCAACTCTGTGCCTGTGCTGCTCTTCGCGGGACTGCTCCTGTGGGCTGCCGGGTGAGCTTTGTGCCGTGCCAGTGCCTCGGTGCCTGCCAGCATCCCGCATCCATCTCTGTCCCTGCATCCTATGGAGGGAGGGATGGTACCCTCCCTACTGGGGGGGACATACTGGGGCAGAGCCAGCCACCTCTGCATCACATGAAGATGGAGAGGGTCACCAGCATCGCTCCCAATCCCATGGGAAGCCGGGCTCTCGCAGGGACCCCTGACTCACTGCAGACCCTTTCCTCCGCAGCCTCGCCAGGCAGCGAGCACCCTGCCCGCTCCATCTACCGGCCCTGGTTCTCGCCCTACAGCTACTTCATGCATACCCACGGAGCCACCCCGCAGGACCCGAACAGCCTCTCCTACTGCATGCCCTCCCCCACCAAGGAATCTGACGACCCCGATGACCTCTCAGAGATCATCTGCTCTTCCTCTGGCTCCTCGGACAAAACCCAGCCCCCCGAGAGGGACAAGCAGGCCAGGGACACAGCCAGGATCACGGTCCGGGACATCCTCGCTGTTTCCCAGCAGCAGCCGGTGCCCCAGTGTGGCTACCAGTGCATGTCATGCTGCCGCATCTTCCCCACGCTGTGGTCCATGAAGATCCACATCCAGCAGAGCTCCCGGGAGGGCTACAGCTGCAAGGTGTACTACCGCAGGCTCAAGGCCCTGTGGGAGAAGGAGCACAAGGAGCAGGAGGCTTGCAGCCCCCAGGGTGCCTGTGTATCCCCGCCAGCCGGGCAGCCGCCGCGGGAGGGCACTGCTCCATCGCTCCTGCCAGCGGCAAAATAAATTGTTTCAGGAGCAGGAGGCCCTGCCTGCCTGCTGCTCTTGCCTACACAACACTTCCGCCATCCTTTGAGGGAGGCTCTTCCTGATTTCTGCTTTCCCAGCAGTCAAAAGTCTCCTGAGCCCCTGGAAAGCGCTGCTTAGCATCTCTGCATCTCCATGGAGGGCTCTGCAGATGTTGGGAACCCCCGCCACCCTTGAGCTGTCAGGTCAGCCCTGAAACAAGGCTGCCCTGGGCAGGGGCTGAAGAGGAAGGCTGCTACCCCTCCACCCCCAGCAACAATTCAGGGCACCTGGTTCTCACAGGCAGCCCGTGGCTGGCACCACAAGAGGAGGATGCTTAGGTTGGAGGGGGTCTCTGCAAGGCCCGAGGGATGCCACTGCTGGTGCTGGCTCCCAATGTGGAAGGGGAGAGAAGTACAGAAAGAGAGAGTCAGCGAGAAGGAAGAGACAACAGAGAGCCTTGAGAAATAGAAAGATTTATTTAGCAAAAGCCAGTCGAGTAATGACAACACCCAAGGGTTAAGTGCACTTACATTGACAGATTGGTTTCCCAGATAGATTGAGTCAACAGTTAGTAACACGACAGTTGTAGGAAAAGAAAGGACAAAAAATATCGCTATAAATCCTCAGTCAAGGTCCATAACAAAAGTGAGAGGCTAGAGAGGTGTTCTCGGAGGCAGCGCTGAGCTAGGAGGACGATCATTTACACATATACACCTGCAGTGCGGCAGGATGCTGGCAGGGTCCCACCTGGCTCTGGCAGCACCCCCTCAGCCCGTGGGGCACCCACCATCATCTGCTGTGGGCAGAGTGCTGGGCAGGAGCCCGGGCCCACAGCTGGTCCCAGCAGCTCCTTGCAGGGCACCGCCTGGGCTGCATGTGTGCAGCAGGGACGGGCAGGAGCGGTGGCATGGGGAGATGGCTCAGCTCTGCCCACTTTCTGAGGCAGACCAGCTTGAGAGAGACCTCCTGCCTGCTGCTTCTCCTCCTGGGCTCTCCCTTCATCTGCCCTATGTGTATGGTTGAGATCCTTCCATCCTCTCTCCTACACAGTCTATCTGCCCACACAGAAATCCCTCTCCGAGGTCACTCATATATCTTTACCCTGCCTGCACCATGTCCTCCACATGCTGCCATCTCCACCTCTCCTTCCTGGCAGGATCAGCCCTTACCCTGTGCCTTCACCTCCAACTGCTGTGAGATGTTGGGGTTCCCAGCAGAGGGGCTGGCACACAGTGGTACAGGACAGGGCTTACGGAGGCATTGGTGGCAAGAGGACAGGAGTACCTGGATCACAATCTGCATCTGCTCCCACTGTGCCCAGTGCAGGGGCTCCCCTGGGCACCAGGCCACTGCTGGGGACCCTGAAACGTGGCCTTCCTTCCCACTAGGACTCTCTAGCTCCTCATAGCATCCAGCCTCCTCTTGTGGTGGAGGGTGCATAGCACAGCTCATACCGACCTTGGGAGCTCACCCACACCTCTGTTCTCAGCAGCCCTCAAGTCCCAAGGGGACCAGGGCAGAAAGAAGCGATGGACCTTCCTCAGCAGCAGGGCTAAGCCCTGGAGGAGAGCAAGAGCTCGTGCCTGGGAGATGCTCCACTAGGGGTTAGGTGCTGGCAGATCTAGCAGAGACAGAGCTGGTGAAGGTGAGAGCAGCAGGGAAGCAACAAAGTGAAGCAGAAGCAGGACAGGAAGGTGGATGGGGAGGAGGAAAACTGAGCCAATCCCCACCTTGTCAAGTGTTTCCAGGGGAGCAGAGGCGACATCAGGACTCTGGTTCATACCCCTTCAGCCGTGGCCTTTTAGAGGCTGCAGCAACAGGCAGCTGATAAATGTGCTTGTGAAAAGAGACAACTTCTGGATCCCTTGGAGGACCCCCACAGATGGCTCAACCACAGATGTCATGAGGTCTGGTGGGGAATCCTGAGATCTTGGATTCACTTTTTTGGAGGGTGCAAACCAGAGATGTGAAAGAGCCAACCTGCAGACACCAGCAGTTCACTCGCCATCAAGGGGTGGCAAGCTTGCCCATCCCTGCACACAGCCAATGCCAACACTGCATCCCCCAGCCCTGGTCCAGGGAAAAAGAATGCTTGGAAATGGTAGGGTTTGTCTATAAAGCAAAGCAGGGAGTTTGTGGTGATGGGGGGTGCAGGGAAGTGCTCGAAAACCTGACTTGAGAGCACCAGAAAGGCTTTGAAACCTGGCAGCCATGCCAAGGAGCCTGTGGACTGAACAACGAGGGGAAGGACACTCCATGTCCCAGTGCTGCGTGCCCTGGCTCCCTGCTCCACGCTAAGCCATGCCTTCCTCTCCACGCTGCGCCCCGGGAGAGGAGTAGGCAGTGACCGCACGCCCTCCACCTGCCTCAGGCAGGGACAATCTCTGGCCTGGAAGTGCCACAAACACCACCACCTTGCCAGGAGCTGCCTGTGCCTGGCTCCCTTGTGCAACCTCATCTAACCCCTTCAGCTCCTTTCCAGGCTCGTCCTTACTATCCCCCGCTGCCTCACCTCTCGCACACCCACACCGACGGTGCACTGTCACCAACCCTAACCACCCCGCTAGCATGGCCCTGGCCTCATCTCCCACCTTCCCCACCACGCAGAATGCCAGACCCCCTGCCAGCAGCTCTGTCCCCACTCACTGCCCCAAGCACTGCCTCCTTGGTCCCCCTTGTCCCTGCTCACTGCCCCGTCCCTGCTCTCTCACTCCCCCAGCAAAAACCTTCATTTGCTTTACGGCTCTCCCCGCTGGAGCACCAGCAGCACTGGCAACTCATGTAGTGTCCGGAAGGGTCCTTTGCTTCTGCCCAACCTCAAAACACAGCTTGCAGGGTGACGGGGACCAGGGGGTAGCACAAGCAGCTGGCAGCTCGCCGTCCCATGCGAAGCGGGGACGCTCCAGCTCAGCACACAAGCCCATGCACACTGGAGCACAGCACGCCCGGCTCACCCCCTCGTCATGGCTCCGTCACCACCTCCGCACACCTCCCGGCCCTGTGCTGGAAGCCCTGCGCTCCCTCCTCCACCCCTTCTCCCTCTGGGCTGTCCCCATCCCTGCCAGCGCCAAGGGGCTATGGCCAGGGTCCACCCCGGCTCCGGCGGGTCCCCGCTGCTCTGCACCACCTCCTGCCGACCCCTACACCGCGATCTCATCCTCCAGGCTGTCACCCAGGTCCTGCCTGGACTGGACGTGGAGCAGGCGCGGCGGTTCCTCCTGGGACCAGGAGTCCCGCTCCTCGCTCTCGTCCGTGTTGGACTCGTACTCGGAGGCGATGCCCGACTCGCGGAATTTGATGAGCTCCAGGCTGCCCAGCGCCGGCTCCGGGGCGGGCTGCCCCGAGTCCGGCAGGAAGCGGTAGCATTCCAGCTTCACCAGACAGTCGTTCCTACCTATGGGGCTGCCCAGGCCACTGGGGAAGCCCGAGCCAGGGCCCAGCGACGGTGGGTGGGTGTCCTCGGGTTGTGGGGTGGTCGGGTCGCAGAGGACGGGGAGGACGTTGGAGCGGAAGGTGATCTCCAGCAGACTGTCCTGGGAGCCTGCTGCAAGAGAAAGGCACGGCTGAGGGGCAGGCAGTGCCACCCTGGCTTCAACTCTGGCCATCCCTGCTCCTCCACCAGGCTGCAGACCGGCCAGAAGAGGATGGTCTGGGGCCATTTAGGTGTCAACCTCTCCACCCTCCCCACCATTTAGAGGAGGCCACTCGGTGCTACTGGTGTCAGAAGCTGCTGTTGGCCAGCAAAGGAGGATGAAAAGTTATCTGTCTCCCAGCCCAGCTCCTTTAGGGAGCTGACAGCCATATCTGCTGGAGAGGAAGGTCAAGGAGGGGCTCTTGGGGAGGTAAGGAGTTGGCCTAAACCACGCAACCAGCTAGGAAACCAGGCACACAGCAGATGAGAGTATGTGACTGCTTGTCCATATAGCCCTCCCCAAGCCCCTTCCCGCGCTGGATGCAAGCGCCCTGCTGCACACACAAGCCAGGCCAGAAGGACACTAACATTCCCCTACACAAAACCGCTGGAAATGCACAAATTCCCCCAAGAGAAACACCCACACTCGTGTCCTCCACAGACCCGGCTAGCTGCGAGGGGAGAAGGAGGGTCAGGAGCACTTACTGGTGTTGTTCCCCGCCAGCTTCAGCTCCAGCTCCTGCACCTGTTTGACCAGGAGCGAGATGTGCTGCAGCAAGTCCTTGTTCTGGAGCAGGAGCTGGTGCACGCGAGCCTGGGCCTCCAGCCGCGCCGCCGCCTCTGCAGCCAGCTGGTCCTTCAGCAAGTGGACCTGTGTGACAGGAGAAGAGTGGGTGAACGCACGGGAGGTGCTGCTCGAGGGCTGAGAGCTTCAACTCCAGCCATCCCTGCTCCTTCACCAGGGCTCAGCAGCATCCCAACAAATGATTCCACAAAGAAGCTGTTGGAGAGTGGGGGCAGGTGGCAGCGTCGCACCAGGGCATGCTCAGCAATGATGACATCTCTGATGGAAGTGACTGAGGCAAAGGGAGGCAGCGCTAACCAAACTCTTTGAGACCTTATTGCTCTCTATAACTACCTGAAAGGAGGTTGTAGAGAGGTGGGGGTCGGTCTCTTCTCCCAAGTCACAGGCGACAGGATGAGAGGAAATGGCCTCAAGTTACGCCAGGGGAGGTTCAGGCTGGATATTAGGAAAAATTTTTTCACTGAAAGGGTTATCAGACATTGGAATGGGCTGCCCAGGGAGGTGGTTGAGGCACCATCCCTGGAGGTGTTCAAAAGACAGGTTGATGTAGTGCTGGGAGGTATGGTTTAGTGATGGTGATGCTTCTTGTTTGTTGTGCGGGTGTCTATTTTTGTCAGTTAGGTTGACGGTTGGACAAGATGATCTTTAAGGTCCCTTCCAACCTAGAAGATTCTGTGATTCTGTTGGTCATACACGCCACGAACACATGAGGAAAGGGTAGCCCAGGAGGAATCCAGATGGATGCGGAAGAGAAGACACGCTCAACTGACTAGATGGTGCTGCTGGTGCACCGGGCGCAGACGTGCGCTGGCCCTGGCCGAGCTGTCTTTCTGGGCAGATTTCCCAGAAACACTGTTTTGCACGAGGCAGGGTCCTGCCATCGGCGTCTGTCACTAGCAGGGGCTAGTGACATCAGAGCTGCCCCAGAGCTGCAGCCAGCTCCGGCAGTGACAGGCATGACACACCTGGAGCAACACAGATGGCAGAGTGCTGTCAAGACATGGTGGCTCTGGGGACATGAGCTGGCTGCTCATTCTGGCCCTGGGAAGCAATGCCTGGCCGTCCGTTAGCCCATGGGAGTCCACGGATAAGAATTCCATTAGTTTTCACATAACTACCCATAGGTAAGCATCTATATAGCACTGGCACCACATCACAGCGAGGGTGGGATGCTGCTGGGCGAGTCCTTGCCCACGGACAGTGGAAGCAGCTCTCTGCTCTGAGATAGAGCAAGGAGAGACCCAGGGGTGCATTCCGGCCAAATGGACAGCAGTGCGGAGCCACCAGGAGCCACATGGACTCAGCACCCCCTCCTGCCACCCACCCATGGCTCCTACAAGTGCTCCTCTCTCCAGCAAAGGCTGAGCCAGCCAGGCTCTTGAGGAACCATGGATTTAATGCAAAAACAATCCAAACCCTAAAACCAAAAATAAACCAAACCAAACTCAAACAAACTCACCCCCCCACATAAAACAACAACAAAAAAACCCAACAAAAAAAGGAAGTTTTACCTTCGCCTAGAAAACATGACCTTGGGGAAGAGCTCTGTGTAGCCTGCCAAAGCTGGGAACTGCTGCTGCAGCTGCAGGGCCCCAAAAGCAGCACAGCTGGGGTCCACCTGCCCTCCTGGATGGGTACCAGGAGGCAGTGCTGGTTCTGCTGACAGGCAAGTGCCTGCTTTGTCCTGTGCTGCCTGGACGCAGCCAGCAAGGCGGCAGGGCAGTGCCCTTGGTGAGACAGAGTTGAAGCACAGCAAGCTCGGGGGGTGCCAGGACACCAGCAAAGGGGCTGGGACATGAAGCCAGACCAAGGGCAAGGGGATGCAATACTTTAACCCCTGAGCAGGCAGCATAGAGTCCTTCTGGTCTGCCTGCAGGCCCCCAGACAGGTGAGACACCCCACACCACTGCTGTGGGAGCCACAGTCACCTCCCTTGGGCTGCTGGCAGTGGGGCACAGCAGCATGGTGGGACTGGGACCCTCTGCTGACCACTGGTGGGTGAAGCAGAGGCCTCGAGCTCAGCTTGCAGAGGTGGCATCGCAATTAAATGCTAAGCAGGTGCCAAAGCTTGCTGCTGGCAGCATCAGTCTGGAAGTCATCCTTCCTTGCAGACAGCAGCTGTCTCCACAACAGGTGCCTGCAGCAGGGTCCACGTGATGCTCTGCTGATGCCAGAAGATGTGAGCAGAGCTGAAACATCATGTCTTGCAGAAGGGCAGTGGCTCATGCCACCAAGCCTCCGGGGGACAAGACCCCGGAGGGACTTCTCGCCTTAATCCAAGAGAAGGAACTTTCACAGGTATCTGGGACCATCTTACAAAAGTGAGTCTCTGGTCAATAAGGGAATTAAATGGCATTTCATTCTCAGCCAAGTAATTACAGACCGAGACAATTACAGGATGGTCCCTGTGGCTATAGACCCAGCACTGATCCTGGATGGCACAATGGATCTCCCAGCTTTGTTAGTAAAGAATTAAGCCTGAGCCCATCACCACATGTTCAGAGACAAACTGGCTCGGTACTTCTAGAGAGAAGACAACAAGTGCCATTGACAGAGGTGTGATGTAATGCATTCAGTCATCTGAAAGGCATTTGACATGATAGGGCCCAACTTTTTCATTAATAAATTACAATGATACAAAATCACCACAGCGCACGCTGAAGGGATTAGAGAGCAGCTAAGTGACAGCTCCTGGGACAAGAACCATCCTGGGGTGGGCAGAAGTCCAGACCAAGGCGTCAGCCCTTGGAGACACAGCGATGAGGCCACTGGCTGCCATCCCAGGAGTCAGCCAAGAAATAGTGCTACACTATTTCAGATTATTATTTTTTTTTAAATCTGGAAGTAGGAAGAAAAAGAAATCGCCACTGCAAGGCTCTGCAGGTACACAGAGACTGGGAACTACTGGAGATGAGCAGTCCCTACCGCAGAAGGACCTGGCTTTGCCTGGCAAGCTTTGGCTGTAGCAACACTATACTTGGGCAGACATAAAAGATCCCCTGAGGATGTAGGTCCCTCTTCCACAGAAGAAAGCAACTTTGCTGAGCCCTGTGACCCCAGAAGGCATGTGGGCTCTTGGGGCAGCAGCTCGGCCAGAAGGACCGATACTGATTTTCTGATGTGTGAATGGAAAAAGCCACGGGAAAGTACAGAAAGGCTGCTGGAGCCCATTGCTCAGGCGAAAGAAGAAAGGAATCGCTCAGGAAGAAAGTTGAGCAACTGCAGAGAGCTCTGCAAGGGGTCAGGGAACAAGTAAAGCTAAGGTAATGAGTTGGATAAAGTGGCCAGAGCTGCTTAAATGAGAAATACCTCCATGGAGAAGGAGTTGGCAGGGTCTAACACCGAGGCCAGGCGTTTGTGAGAACGCAGGGGCCGAGTGACCAAGAAAGCTGGTGGCAAGCAGGCCTAATGCTAATCCATCCGGGCTTAACGCAACCGCTGCTGGGAGCAAGGGCAATAAAGCCGGCTGTGCTGTGGAAAGAGAGGGGACACTGCCCAGCCTGCTCCTCACCCTTGGTGTCAGGGTCCACCCTGGCTCAGGTCAGGTCCCCCCCCATGCCCGCCCCCCTCCACGCAGGAGATGCTCTGGCACTTGGGGGGGGCTCATTAGGGCACCCCAGCCCTGCCACTGCCCCCCAGGAAAGAGCAGAAGGGAGAACCTGTGCCACGGCCACTTGCGTCTGCTGCTGCTGCTGCTGCAGGAGCTGCTGGAGAAGCTGCATTTGGTGGTGGGCAGAGAGGGGCGTTCCCAGGTCGGGCAGCTGGGCGGACGAGGGCAGCAGCATCTTGGGCGACGCTGTCAGGATGTCTTCAGGGTGGAGGCAGCCCTGCAAAACACCAGTGTCAAGAGCGTGATTTTGTGCACCTCACCACAGAAAGCCCCCAGGCCCCCCAAAAACACCCAGGGAAAGACGGTGCTGCATTCAAAGCAAACGAGCGCTTTGCTGGGGGTGCTGAAAAAGGCTGAAGGCAGCATTTTTTTCAGTTTTGACAAAAGCCCAAATACTTTTGTAGAAAATTCCCGAAAAGGCTGATGCTTCTCATGGGAAATTCCACTGTATAAAAAAAAAAAAAAGTCTCTTTTTTGGGTGGGAAAAAAAAAATCCCTATCAGCTCTGCCCCAGACACTTTCCGTGTGGCTGCACATCACTGAGCCTCAGCACGGCGCTCCCCGGGCCCCGAGCCAAAGGGCAGCCCTGCGGTGGCAGATGGCTTTGATCCGGGAGCCGGGGAATGCTGCACAATCCCTCCTGATCCCCGGGGATGCTCATCAGAGCCACGGGGCCGGGGCCACGCCGTGCTCTGAGAAGGGAGGACAGGGACCCACACACCTTGGTGTCGGCGTAGGCGCTCGCCTCCTTGCCCACGGCGTCGAGGTCGGTCACCCCACGGCTGAAGTCGAGGATGTCTGCTCCGGGCAGCGGCAGCTCCACAGCATCGATGTCTGTCTCCTCCGCCGAGGCAGCTGACCTCTCCGTGCCGGCAAGGCGGCAGGCTGTGGGAGCAGCGTCAGAGCAGAGCACAGCTTGTTTGGAGAGGGATCTGGCTACGGTGTGCCCATGGTATGGCAAGCAATGCCCACCGGTCGGTCCCCACCACCCCCATCCCACCCACCCTCCAGCTCTGGGGTAAAGCAGGTACAGAGCCCCACGGCTGCGCTTCCTGCTGCTGCTCGGGATGGGGCTTGTGGCCAAAAAAACACACCCAGCCCCAGCACACCAAATGTGGGGAACGGTGGCCAAAACCTCTGATGTGGGACAAATGGGCCATCAAGAGCAGAAGACACAGAGAAAGCTAAAGAAAGGTAAACAAGAGATTAGAGGGGAGGGGGGAGAACCCAAAACAAACGGATGTTCAGACATCCCCAGGGAACCGCATTATCGCGGCTGGGACATTGTGTGGAGGAAAACCAAACAATGACCAGTCCAGGATAGCCCAATGATTAGGTCATGCCGACATGATGGCTGCAGAGGCAGGCAGGAAACCACAGCACAGACCAGGAGGCTCCTGTTGGGATGAGGGGGGGGGATCTAGCACCCATCATTGGGCGGCAGGACAGGGCAGGCAACCCACACGCGGATGGGCATCAGGACCTGCCAGCATCCCAACAAGCACTGGAGGTGTTTGACCAACCTCTTGCGGAACAACTGTCTCCCCTCCAGTACAGCCACTGGCACCAAGGAGCACAGAGCCCCAGGGTGATGGGGCTGGACCAGTAGCCCCCTGGCCAGGAGCATGCATCCCCGCTCCCTAGGGGGAGAGAGAGGGGGTCTGCAGCCCTGGGAGCTTGATGCAAGACCCCAAATGCAGCTTTGTACGTGCAGGGAATCGCAGAGAGCCAGCCCCAGCCCCACAAGCACCTCGGGACGCGGGGAAGGTCTGTGCTTAGGGGGCCCCTTGTGTGGAAGCAGCGAGGAAATGTTTGCAGCGTGTGCAGCCGAGCACAGAGCCTACTCGGGCGCCCAGAGGAGCCCCGGGCGCTGCTAATGGGCTCCCAGCAAGGGGCCATGTCTGCCAGGATGATGGCTAACACCTAGCGAAGGCTCCTTGCTGGGCAAGATTCCAGCTTGAGCCCGATGCGCCGCGGGCCAGATTGCTGTGTAAATCCATTCCCCGCAGGTGTCAGCCAGCAAGGAGCCGTATGGGAAGACGGTGACTCTGCCTGGCTCCAGGACCCCCATACCACCCCCATCTCTGCCCTCGCACAGTACCTGGGACGTCCAGGTCGTCCCCGTTCCTCTCACTGTCTCCATCCTCCTGCCCGTCTGCATTTTGCTGGGTGTGCTGCAGGCTCAGCTTGTGGCAGACCTCGAACGCCTGCCCCACCGTCCGGACGATGCGCATGGCTTGGCTCTGCAGCAGGCGAGGACAGGAGAAGAGGGACATAACCTCAGCTGGGTCGGTCCTGCCCAGTGACCTCCCCAGCCTGCCACAGCTCTTGGGGGGCTCTGTGCGCTGCCACAGGGACTGAGGCCCCAGAGCTCAGATCACCAGGGTGCTCAAGGCCACCAGCTGCAGCGCAGCACCACGGGATCCTGCCCCAACTGCCCCACTGAGACCTCACAACGGCACAACGTGCAGCCCAGCATCTTTACCTTCTTCTTGGATTTGAAGACGTTGCACCTGAAGACATTGCTAGACCCATCCCTGGCAATATAGCTGAAGATCTTTAGGTCTTGGGAGTCGTGGGACACGTAGAATATTCTGCAAGGACAAAAAGGAAGGGAGGATATCAACATACATATTACCCACATGCCCAGGAGAACTGCCAAGGCCACCACCAGCATTTCCCAGGGCACGAGGTGCTGGCAGATGCCCAGCCTCTGCAGCACATCCCTGCTAAAGCCCATCAGAAATTTTTTTGGCAGTAGTTTTGCCTCGGCTGGGAAAATTAGCCTGCTGACTCAGCAGCAGCAAGCATTTTGTGAAGACAGCATGGGGCTTTCTCTGCTCAGCCCCCAGGGGCAGAGCTGGCAGCCCAGGAGCCCTCCAGGGGCTTCGTTCTCTGCCTTGCCTGCTCGGAAAGCTGGCCCCCTTGCTCTGCTGCCTGTCGCCCCCTCCCCTGCAGGGCTGAGGCTCTTCTGTGCTCCCATTCAGCTTCCCAGGGACAAAGACACCCCATGCTCTTAGCTTTTGCCAGCAAGATGGAGGAGGAGAGCTGGAGACTTTTGGAGAGCACAGCAAACGAGGGGAGCTGCCCTCCATGGGGATGGTGGCAGGTCTCCACAGTCAGCCCCCAGCACGGTCCCAGTGCCATGTGAAGTAAATGGCACAGCAGAGCCCCCCAGGCCCCCGTCCCCTCAGCAGGAGGGCTTTACCTGTAGATGGGATCATGCATGACGAGCATTTTGTTCTCATCCCAGGCCCATTCTTTTTTCTGCAATGAAAGAAGCTGAAAATGAGTACGTCAGACGCTGTCCTTGAGATCAAGGACAGGGCAGAGACAGTCCAGGGAAAGACCCTGGGAAGCTCTTGTCCCAGCTCTGCTGCTGCTCCCCCGCAACCTTTTCACTGACGGTCGGGTCCTGCTGGGGACCAGTGATGTCCCACATCACCTCCCATGGGGCCCCCCAAACCCCTTCTACACCCACATCAGGACTGGCTCAGCCACCCTGTGGGAACATGTCTTCTCTGTGGCTGATCCCAGCCCATCCCTCCCTCTCCCAGCCCACTAGAGTTTCCCAGAAATTCAAGGATGCAGCAGGTCCTTGCACTGAGAGGGAAAGGCTCCTGCTGCCCCAGGGATCAGGCCTGCCTACCTTTTTCTTCTTCTTCAGAATGACCTTCACGCCGTCCACCGACACAATGAGACTCACTTTCTTCTTCTTGATATTCTTGGCTTTAAACTCATACTGCAGGGGATGGAAGAAAACACCTGAATTAGCCTTCCTGTGCCAGGAACGTGCCAGGGAGGGCTGAAGAGGCTCCGATGGGAAGGGGTGAGAGGGATGGGGAAAGGTTTCCCCAACCCCACATGCCTGCATCAGACTGCACATCCATGCTAGGACAGGACAGGGGGCCTTTTTGCCCCACAGCGACCCTGTGCCCAGCATCCAGAGGAGCAGACCCCACAGTGTTCCAGCCCCTGGATGTGGATAATGCTCTGCTCAGCCCAGGATGCTGCTGGAAACGTTAACTTGTGTTTCAAAGGCATTCACTCTGCTGATCTGAAGGGCCATACGTCCCTGGAGAAGGACTGCCACCTCCCCAGCCCTGCCAGCCCCCCAGGGCTCCACAGCCCGGCTGTGTTTGTCCCGCTGGCTTGTGCCCATTGCTGTGCCCTGGTAAGGGAAATGGCATTTCGAGTGGGCTTTTTTGGGGGGGCTCAGTATAAAACCGGAGATGACTGCTGAGGACTCCGTGAACCTCTGCAGGGGAGATGGGATAATGCAATTACCCACTTCAATTAGAAGTCACTGAACAGGAAAAAAAGCCCAACAGGAACTTCCAAAGATCAGCGACTAAACACAAAGCTCTTGCCCAGCCCGGGGAAGAGAATGAGATCCCCCAAAATCCAGCCACTTCTGCATTTAGAGTCTTATAGGTGAGGAGGGAACTGGCCATGGAAGAGGCCAGATGAGGCTTTTAGGCTGAGCAGCTCCCTGCTGTGGGACTTTTGAGGAGTCCCATAACTGGTCTACCACGGGTGCACCCACACCAGGTACCTGGTGTGCTGGTCCCACACGCAGGGTGCTGTGGGGACAGATCCTCTGCACCCACCCGGGGGCAGAAGAGTCCCACATCCTGCGCCTCACATGCCCGAGGAAGAGGAATATAATTAATCCTCTCATTATTTCGCCGGTCTCTGTGCAGAGGGAGCCCGGGGCAGGCGCCCCGGTGCAAAGCCCAGCCTCCAGTCCCCGCCGAGCCTGAGCGTGACATTTCCAGCACTGCATGATGTATTCACTTTGGCAGCCCGAGCCAGCAGGCAGGAAAAGCTGCTGGCCCTGACCTGCGATCGAATGATAAAAGACTTGAAAGTACAATTCCTCAAAGCCATTTCAAAGTTGCCGATGGGAATGGGAGATACAGATGATTCAGAAAACAGTGGGGATGGTGGGGGAAACGCAGCTCTGCCCTCCCCGGCGCACAGACCAGGCAAATTGGGCAAGCCCACCCACTTCGGGGCTGAAGCCACGGTGATGGGCTGGAGAAAGGAGAGCTCAGGCTCCCGCCGTGGATACAGCCAGCCTTAAAATCCCCAGCACAGACCCACGTGCTGCTTGCAAGGCTTATTCCTCGTGAAAAAGTATCTCTCACTGGAGTCCCTCACCAAAGAGCCCACCGGGGTGGGTTTCCAAGTCCCATCTTTCAAATTCCCCTTCCCCAGAGGTGAAACTGCATCCAAGAGCCCCCTCTCTGTACCTTGCTAAGACCAGTACTGAGATCACAGCACTGTGTCTAGTACCTAACACTAAATAAATGTCTTGATTTAGCCCTGAAAAGATGAGTTCCAGTCTGGCTACCTTGGAGTTATTAACCCAGCACCTTCTGAAGCCCTGCATGCCATTTTCCTGGAGCTGTGGGCTGAGCTGGATGCTCTCTGCAGTGCCCAGAGCGACTGCACGGCACCTTGTGGAGCTGCAGCCTGATTTATTGGTCCTAACAATCCTTGATTATAAACATCAAGTTGCATTTCTGAGTTCCTGGAGCTATGGGGTTTCTGTTCTGGGCCATTCCAAGTGCTAATTAACGTGGGCTTGGAAGAGACAGCAGCCCTGAAAAATATCTCAGGGTTAGATAAACTATTTTTAGCCTGCTTTTTGGGTGAGTAACAGCCCCAGGACAGCAATGCAGTCAGGCCAGGACATTTCAGCAAAGATGCTACCCAGCCCGGGCATATGTTTCAGGGACAGGATGAGTGCAGAGCTCCTTGGAGAGAGGTTTCTGCAATTCCTGGCTGCAGGCAGGGGATTCTGCCCGGGCTCGCCCTGAGCCTGGCAGAGGGGAGTGCCACAGGGAATGCTATTTTGCCTCTGCCACACGGATGCCAAAGCCCCCTTCTGCTGACGGCTCACGGCAAAACTCCAGCAAGAGCCACAGGGAGGAAAGAAGTTGAATTCTCAGAAGGGCTGACCGGCCAGATTTGTTAAGCCCTTGCATAAATCCTGATGTGGAGGTGGGAGCCAAGCCCCTCTGCAAGTCCGAGCCATGCGCTTAGGGAGCTATTGCACATCCTGCCCCAACCAGAGCTCGTTAGCGCAATCACTGCAACGAGTGCAGGCGCTCTCTGGGATACATTTCCCATGCAACGGAGCGCGCAGCTCTAACCAGTAAAATGCTAATGAACTCATGCCCACTGGGGCTCTAATGAAGCACTAACCATAATTTAATAACAAATTAGCGAGGAAGAGGATTGAATAAAGCGGCAGTTCAGCCGAGCCGCCTCTCGCATCCCCGGGCTGCGTGGGGCAGTCGTGCCAACTCCCACGGGCCGGGAGACGCGCTGCTGATTTGGAGGGGTCTTCAAATTTGAATTTGGGTGAATAGGTGTAAGGAGGGAGGAAAAGCACCCAGGAGAGAGGGGCAGCAGGCCAAACCGAGAGAGCATGTACTGCTCTGCAGAGCCCGGCAAACACTTCGTGAGCTGCTACCCCCCTCCTTACAGCCACAGCGTGCAATTTGCACAGAGCTAGTTCAACAAACCAGAGGGATTTCACCCCAAGCTGTACCTCTGGCTAGGGTCAAAGGGAACATTATGTTTGCACGGTTCCTCTAAGTGAGACCTGAGCCACAGAGACTGTAAGGGATGAACCCAAAACCGTGCAGGGCAGAATCTGTGCTCAGACCTGCCTGCTCATGGCATGGCAGTTCATGTCAGCGGTGACAGCAGCTGCCAGGACCAGCCCCCTCAGTGTCCTGCTGTGCCAGGATGCTGCTCGATGGCTACAGCAGGAGAAAGGCATGTCTCACCACAAGTCCTTGCAAACCCCAGCAAGGCCCTGCAGCTCCCAGGAAAGCTGTGGCTGATGGTTGCAGCCAGCCCAAGGCACCAGCCCAGGAGAAGTGCTCAGGGCTGGGCTGGATGCCCTGTGTGTGCCCTGCATGCACCCTGGCTCTCCTTGGCCCGGGAGGGATAGCTGGCCCTGTGCTACCTCCTTGGACTTCTCCGAAGCAATGGCAAATCCTTTCCATTAGCAGACTATAGATGCCAGTATGGGCTTCTTGTTTCTGAAGACTGCTGGACATCTCAGATGGTCTCATCAATGTGCCGCACATGAACAGGACCCGCCCTTGCTAACACGTACCCTGTAAGCCCATTTACTTAATGGTGCCATGGAAAACCTCTCTCTGTATGACTAATCAGGACATCCCTGGCTTGGAGTCATTCTTGACCACAGCTCTGTCTGCCCTGCGCACAGAGATCTGCTGGGTCTGCCCACGTTTGTCAATGTCCCTCCTCCTGCTGTGAAACAGAGAGAGAAAGCTTAAGAGGGATGCAAAGCACTAGGGTTTTAGCTTTCCCTGTTGCTGGGAGGAGAGCAGAGGTGACGGCAGGGTTGGAAACCCCACCAAAGGGACTCTGAGATGGTCTGCGCAGCCACAGCAACCGCCACTGCATCCAAACCCAGCGGGCACTGACTGACCCAGAGGAGAAGAAAATCTGCACATTCCTAGGGATGCTGGACCAATGCCATACAACGCTTGCTGGGAATATCTCCCGCATCCCCAAAGAAGCGCTAAAAATCACACCATTGCTGCTAACGAGCTTCTCACCGAGGCAACACAAAACTGCGTGGGTGGCAAAGAGAAAGTGGGGTTTCTCAAAGCCACCAGCATGGGACCCGCTCTGCTGCCGGGAGGGGATGGGGATGCTCGGGGTGGGAGCTTGGCTATGCACTAGGAGTGCCTCTGTGATGGGGTGCAGAGAGCTGGGTGACAGCAGTTCACCCTGCATCTCTGGACACCACATTCTCATTTTAGGTGACTACTTCAGGAGAAAAAACACATTTCCCCCTGCCTTGAGGGAACTCGTGTACCGATGGCTCCAGTTCGGAGAGTTGAATCCCAGCCCGCTATTTAATAAAGAAATGATACAGAAATAATTATCCAGCTTGGGATCAAGGAAGGAAAGAGGATTTGTGCAACTACCCCGTGATCCCCTTTGGTTTCACACCACCTAGCATTTCACTGCATTATTTATAACTAAATGGTGTAATGGTCAAAGAGCTTTCTTGGCCTTCAACCCAGGTAGTTTGCCACATTGCTATAGCCAAGAATTAATATAATTAACCCAAACTTGTAGTACTATTATAGATATTTAAAGATCTAGATTTGTGCCCACGATGGGCAATGTCAGAAGATAGACGAGAAATTATTTCAGGGAAATACACAGAAAACAGAGCAAGAGAAACCTGTCTGTTCCTGGACTTGCACAGCTCCACAGCCAGTCTCCAACTGAAGCTCTAAGCACTCTACCAAAATTTTTAAGCAAAGATTGAAAATGGACATATGAGATATACCACGGTTAAAAAAAAAAATATTCAAGAAAAAAAAGTAAAGGTAGTCTCACTAATGAAAAAGAAGTACTAGATCACTCGGAAACTCCAACCAGCTAAGAAGTGAATAAAGTTTATCCCTTAATTTTATACTATGCACAAAAAGCCCCCATTTTTATCTTCTCAATTAGAAAAGAAATATCTATTTTGTCAGAGCACAAGAGCCTTACCATTGACCTCAGGTTAGTGGGAGTCTATTTTCAACATCTGTCTTTTATGTGGAGCTTACTATTTAAATAACTTTAGATGGAAAATAATGCCAGCTGGTGTATGCATCATTGCACAACACATTCCTACTGGCAGAGTATTAAAATTGCCCTTTCTGGAGAACAGAGTAACATATGTTGCTTAAT